CAAGCTGCCAAAACCCAGGGCAGCTTAATGCACAAATTACCCTGAGCTGTTCTCGCCTGAGAAAATATTGTAGTAGTAGTAGTAGTTACAAATGAACTTATAAATTCATAAGTAGTTACAGAACTTATAAAGGGAGGGAGTTATAGATATTAACAGAGGAGCTGAAATAACATTGTCTTTGGGCTTTTCACATGAATTAGATCTATGCAAAGTTTGCATGGCATGCCTTCCATGGAAAAAAAGAGGCACGCTCTGTGATTCCTCATGCTTAGCTCATGTAGAGCGACTCTTAATTGATACAGGCTTTGCAACACCACCCTTATGTCTGTGATTCAAATTTACAGTGAGACGTATAGGGTGGGAAAACCCTATGAGGCCATTTTCAGTACACACAGGCTACACATTTTTTCAGCCAAGGGAAGGTTGTCCTAATGTACAAAGCCAAGAACGAAAGAGCAGAGAGAGTAAAGGATGTCATGGAACTGTTTGCGGGGTGGAAAGCCAGTGTAATTGAGCTTCCATCCTACCACCCACAAACAGAAACTTGTCTGGATTTTTTGGAATGATATTTTCAGTCCCAAGAACTGGGAGAGTTTTCCTTGCACATTTCTTAGCAGCTTTGTTTCTCAGAACACTGAAGATGATGGTGGCAGTTCAAAGCTATTTAACCCAAAGCAGAAGGAGGAGTGCACCCAATACTGTCTCTAATGGCACCAATCACCTGTTAGGAAGCAGCAGGGAGAAAACACCCCAGCCTGCTCCAAGAAATAATTACTCAATGAATGCTGTCCGCTGACAGACCTGTTCAGTAGTGCATGCATTACAGCCTTCCACAACCTGGTGCTCTCCAGATGTTGTAGGACTCCAATTCTTGTCATACCCAGTCAGCATGGCCAATAGACAGGGATGATGGGAATTGCAGTCCAAAACCCCTGAAGGGAACCAGTCTGGGGAAAGCCACATCGTGTAGGAGCATATTGATGCTGCCTGTGGGTCCACATCCCTTTCCACAACAAGCCTTGCACTCTCTGTAGTGGAAATCTAGGAATAAAAATATGTTTTTGCTTGCAGATCACATTCATTGGACTGCAGTTCAGCAGCATGCATTTCCCTGATTCCAAGTTTCACTGGACTTAACTGACCCATTTTTCCTCCAGCAACTGCTTGGCCATGCCAACTTTTTGCACTCTCCTATGCCATGTTTAAAATATTCATTGGCAGGACAGTGCATCATCACTTGACATCTATATCACACAAGTATGTACTGGAGAATGAGGACCAAAGTAGACCTGACATTACTCACATCTTTATGAGGCTTTGCATCTCCCATTGCAGATAGCAGACCTAGATCTATAAAGTTCTGGAATAAGACGGAGTCCTGTACAGAGAAGAAAGTATGGTATCCCTGACTAATGCTGTTCCTAAAGTGTTCCTGCAGAATGGATAGCTGCCTCAGCAAAAATGGGGCAATGGCCGCTGCTGGGGACTATTTTGGTCTGAATAATCAAAGAGGAAGAGGGAAAGGATGGAGAAGAAAACAACCACAGATGAGCAAAGAACTGATTCATGAAAGAGAAAACTGGCAACATTACAAAGGCAATATTTTCACTAGAATGAAACATCCCTGAACAGTTTCTCCATTCTGACTTCTACGGAGATGAAATCTTGGGCCTCGTTTCCATTCCTTTTTCCACACTGTATCAGAAATCACACAAGACAGGCTCCAATTCTGAAAAACTTTTCAAATGAGTATTGGAAATTGTCTTGTACCAAATCAGACTTTTGGCCCATCTAAATCAGCCGTGTCTATTCTGACAACAGTGACTCTCCAGGATGTCAGACAGAAGCCTTTCCCTGTTTTGCCACCCAATATCTTTCTTACTGGAGATGCTGGGGATTGACTCTAGGACTTTCAACATGCAAAGCATGCTCCTGAGTTCCAACATCTTCCGTGTCATGCCTATGCCTCCTGCTGTTCAGCATGATGCTTCTGTAAAGGACTTGCTGATACTCACTGAATCTCTGTGCCAGCACATCACCAAGTTGCAATGAGACAGTAGTCTTGCCACAGTGCTAATAATACACACCACATGCCACCCAAAGCAATGTACTTGATGGTTGAAGCAGGATACATTTTATAGCTAGAGAAAACTCCACCCATGACTGAATGTAACCATCTTTGGGGTGGGATGTGGCAAATGTTTCCAATAACCATCTGCTTGGGAAACCTAGATTTTTATGTCAGGAAATAAGCAATGCCAGATCCAACTGAAACTGGAGTAGGACACGTATTGAGAAGGGAGCCCTCTTGTCCTATTAGCAAGCATGTTCTGCAAGTGCAAATCAATGGTCCTAAAGCATTGTGGGGCACTAGCCATGCACCCCTTCTGTGAGGACCTCCAGCTGCAGGCTGACACTTTCTCATACAAAGGTGCCTTACTTAACCCATACCAGCTCAGACCACTGATCCATCTAGCTATTGGGGGCACTGATCAGCAATGCCCCAGGAGCAGACTTGGGTCTTTCAAATTTCAGCAGTCCCCTCTGTGAGACCTGAATTCAGCACCACCCCCACCTCTCACCTTCCATTCTGCTCAATTCGCAAAGCATAGTTGTGCAGCATCCCCTAGGCTTGGCACCCAGTGCAGTAGAACTGGTCACACTGCCCTAAATCTGCCCCTGAGGGCCCTTTAGGGTTTCATACAGGAATCTTTCTCAGTCCTTACTAGACTTGCCAAAGGATTGTACAGAAAGCACATACTCTGCTCCTGAGTTTTAGCCCTTCCCCAGTTTTACCTTGTGCAGATCGAGAAAACAAAATGTCAAAAATGTCAATTATGCATCAAGTGCAGTTGGGCCAGAGTTTCTAGATGCATTTGTGTTGTGTACAATGTCCAATGCTGTGGGAAAGACTGATGGACATGGCACAATCAGGTTTAATGTGTAGTAACAAATATGGCTATCCTAATGCAAGATTGTTCTGAATCCTAGCCTACCTGGTAGCAAGTCAGTATGCCCAGTCCAAAATCCAAAGGCCAGGAAACACAGTCCAAGGTCAATCCAAATAGTCAAGTTTGAAGTCCAGCAGTCAGGATACAGTCCAGAGTCAAACCCAAAGCACAGTCCCACAGAACTTCAGGTGCATCCAAGCCAAGGTCCAACAATATGAGATAGCACCTCAGCTCTGCTTCGTTTTTGCACTTTGCATGCTGATTGCAGCATCTGGGCTTAACGAGGCATGTGACCCTCACCTGTTCCAAGCCTACTCCATCTGAGGAATTACACCCCTCCTCCCAGAGCTAGTAAGCGCCACCTAGCCAGCTAGGGAGCTGGGCTGTGGGCCCTTGTCTGCCTCAGCCTCCTAAAGCATCCCTCCCCCTGCTCCCTATGCCTCAGAGCCCGCCATATTCATGGAGACAGGAGCCCCTCTGGCTCTGGTGGTGGGTCCTGCTGCTCTGGTTCCGGTGTATCAACCCCCATTCCCCTGCCATCCTCCATCACCCTGTGAGTACTTCCTTCTCCTTCACCTGCTTGCCCTGGTATGTCCCATTCCCAGCTACACCCCTTGCCTCTTCCTTCTCCCTATCAGTTCATGACAAAGATGCTTCTGAGCAGAAGATACAACTGCTAAACTGTCACACACTTTTAAAGCACTTCAGACATTCTGCTTTTTCCAAAAGCAGGAAACTGTATTCACAGTGGGCAGGGAGGCTGCATCACCTACTTTTCCTTTGCTTGTTCTGCTCCTGTTGTTTCGTATATGTTCTATGCAGTAATGGGCCTTGCAGAACACAAATACAAACGGGAGCAACTCATTTTCTTCAAGATGTTCTTCATCTGAGTGTCTTGGCAATTCTAGGAACATAGAAATCTGCGTTATACCACATCAGACCATCGATAGGCAATGACTCTCCAGGGTTTCAGGCAGAAGTCATTCCCAGCCCTACCTGCAGTTGCAAGGGATAGACCTGGGACCTTCTGCACCAAAACCATGTGCTCAATCCCTGAGCTACTGCCCCTTTGTTATTATGTTCAAGAAATGGCAGGATTTGACACCTGACATGCTTCTTATTACCACTCCTTAGGTGTTCTTGTGAGGTCTTTGATTCACATACTAAACTGACACAACATATGAAGGCGGGATATTGTTTCATTTCTCCCTTGGAACGTGTGGTGGGATTGGCAAGTGGAGAAAAGGTTCCGAAGGCAGCTGCTTACAGTACATCAGGAATACAGCTGCACAATTCTAACCACTATTTTATGGAAACTATGCTGAGGAAAAGTTCCTTTGCTCTATGGCTCTGAAGCAACTTGTTCCTGCACGCTCTGTTCTACAGAGGCGATTTTTTCATCACTAAATTATGGAGGTGTTGCGAGAGGTTTTGCTGTTTGAACTGCTAGTTGCAGACGAGGTTGACCTATCCTTCATACACACACACACACACACACTGCTTTACAATAACTATATTTTTGTTAAGATCTTAGATGTCATTTTCCAAATGGTTAATTCATTAAATGTAAAAATGTAAAGGACAATATTCAACTAAGTCTAGTTGGAGTAGACTAGTTGGAATCAATGGACTTAAGTTGCTAGTCCTTTGCATTACTCTGAGTGTGGCTAACACTGGATAGCACCCAAATGTTTCCCATATTGATCTTCAGAGTACGGCATTGATGGCTGCTGTTTTATATCATCAGGATTATATTTATTGTATGTATTTATACATTTATATCCCATCTTTCCTACAAGGAGCTTGAGAGAGTGTTCATAGTTCTCCTCGCTCTCCATTATATCCACAACAATCCTATGAGGTAGGTTAGGTTGAGAGACTGTAGCTGGCCTAAGGTCACACAATGAGACTGAGTGAGGATTTGAACCCTGGTCTCCTGGGTCCATCACTCTAATGTAGGAAACTATCTGATACTGAGTGAGACCATTAGTCCATCTAGCTCAATAGTCATTGTCTGTACTGAGCAGCATCAGCTCTCTAGGGTTTCAGTTAGGATGCCATAGATTGAACTTGGGACCTTCTGAATCCAAGGCGGATGCTCTACCACTGAGCTATGTCCCCTCCCCAAGTTCAAAGCAGAAAGCAAGAGTAATCATAGTACATCAGCGACTTCCATCCAAACCTGGAAGTTCTTCATACATCCTCTGAATATGGCATACAGTGATTTACCGAAAATGTTTCAACATCATATATGCTCAGTTTATACTCCTATATGTTTGCGTAAAAACGGTACTAACTAGAACCTAACTCAAATCTACTCCTTCATGATTTCTCCAAAGACCTAGAAACAAGGAGATTTGCCTCCTGGCAGATTTATTTACTTAGAGTTTTAGACATTTCTATGCTGCCTTTCACCTATACCACCTTTCAAATCAATCACAAGCCCGTGAAGAACAACTTTAAAAATGCAAGATCAAGGTTAAGATTGCAATACATAAAATGCACCTGAAAGGCATATAACTAAAAAATATGCAGTGCAAAATTGTGATATAACTATATCACAATAATTTGTGCACATGCTTGTACCAAAAATGGGAGCACAGGAAAGAAAATTAAGAAATGTAATTCCTTTTCCATGGTTCAGTACACCTCCCCCTAAATCTTCTAAATGTGTTGGGGCACATTTAAGAAGTGAAGCTGGCATCCATTTCCTGGACACATCAAAACCATCTTAGGTAGCATTGCACTCTATGAAGCAGCTGTGGCAATATTTTAAACTCTCTAATATTCCTGTTGATGAATTGTTGTCATGTGATCTTCTGATAAAAACAGCAAACATCAGCATTACTCAGGTACCAGTCATTAGCTTTCGGCGTTAGCCCAAATTTTAGCTACGTTAACTATAACGGATAAGACTAATACTGTACATACATTTCTATATTTATCCTTTTCATTTGTTCACATCATAAAACTTAAATAGTTTATTGCCTTCTGTAGAAATTGTATTTGGGGATAAGAACTTAAGTTATTTGGCTGTTATTTTGTAAGCCTTGCCTGAACACCAGCTTCTGGATTAGGGTGGGGTATTTCATTATTTGTCTGTATGATGTTGTTATATGTTGAAATTATTTATTTAAAAATATCTATTCCATTTGTGAATCACTTCTCAGAAAACATCCTGCAGCAATTTAACAATGAAAAACATCAACCATGAAAACATATATAAACACAGTCTCAAGTCCCATGCAGCTACAGGTTGTTTTGTGTTGAGATTAACATAATCACTTTACTTGGTTTATAATTTTTAATTGGTCTACAGGAGGCAGTTGAGATATGCATTTACTGTACAAAAAGACTGTGGTTTTGGGGGTGCATAGTGCCTCTTACCCAAGCTGCAAGTGCACATCCAAAGCACCAATTTCCTCTTCTTTCTATCAACACAGTGAAAGTAAAAAAAAGTTACCACTGAAAAGTAGCTGCAGGGCTGCGGTTCAGTGAATCTGAGGCCGATATAATTGGTAACAAAGTTACGGTAATGTGGTTTGTTTTTAAAAATCTCACCGTTAAGTTGGAGCTCAGCTTTTTCTTGTCTCTAAAACAAGGCGTACTATTATAACACACAAGCTGGCTGCTAGGATTTCCCCAAACCAGATGTCAAAAGGATTTTCCAACAGTAGAATACAGTAAAATTAAAATCAAAAGCATGTTATAAACAAACCGAATTGCTTTATAATTAGAATTTTCCAAGACTGTAGCTTGAAGGCAAATCGGTATATTAAAGACACTGAAATAATTAATTTGGGGTTTTTCCGTTTATTTACTGCCCAACAAGGTAACAAGAAACAGAATGTTAACAAAGAACCAGCTGAAGGGTATTACCCCATTCTACTTTCTAAAACCAAAATTCTAATTTAGGACTTTATTTTCTTTGCTAAACAACAATGGAAAATGAAAATTGCTTCATTAGCAATGAAAGCTGAGCTAGCTCTCTGCGGTAGTAACTGCTGTTGTGTTGCTGCAACCACCCTGCCTTTTTCTCATCCATGGGCAGCCCAGGACCTTTCTGAATAGGACAGTGAAGAAATGAGATGGAAATCTAAGATGTGCTGGGTTTTAATAAATATCTTCTTCCTTAACTAGAATACACCCCCCACATCAGGCTCCTGATTCACTTTTCTGCTGTACCTAAGAGGGTGCACCAAAGTACCTTAAGAACAAAGCGTTCTGCCCATCTGCTTTTGCTCCATACATGCTGTTACCAAAAGAATTGCCATAAACCAGGGGGCTGGCAGCAGTGACCGGCGATGACCATTGAAACCGGAAGGGCAGGAAGACCAAGGCCACATTCACACCATACATTTAAAGGGCTATGATACCACTTTGAACATGCATGGCTTCCCCCAAATAATTCTGGGAGTTGTGGTTTCTTAAAGTTGCTGAGACTCTTGAGAGTCCCATGGACTGCAAGAAGATCAAACCAATCCATTCTTAAGGAAATCAGCCCTGAGTGCTCACTGGAAGGACAGATCCTGAAGCTGAGGCTCCAATACTTTGGCCACCTCATGAGAAGAGAAGACTCCCTGGAAAAGACCCTGATGTTGGGAAAGATGGAGGGCACAAGGAGAAGGGGACGACAGAGGACGAGATGGTTGGATAGTGTTCTCGAAGCTACCAGCATGAGTTTGACCAAACTGCGGGAGGCAGTGGAAGACAGGAGTGCCTGGCGTGCTCTGGTCCACTAAACAACTAAAGAACAACAACAAAGTTGCTGAGAGTTGTTAGGAGACCCCCTACTCCCCCCTCACAGAGCTACAATTTCCAGAGTTCCCTGTGAAGAGGGACAGATAGTGAAGCCACTCTGAATATTGTAGCTCTGGGAGGGGAACAGGGGTCTTGTAACAACTTATGGTACTCTTTAGAAACTTTAGCTCCAATAATTATTTGGAGGAAGCCATGACTGTTTAAAGTGGTATCATAGTGATTTCAATGTATGGCGTGAATGTGTACCAAGGATAGGTGGAGCCACAGCCAATGACAGGGAGAGCCAGTTGATTCCAGTTTTGTCCCCATCCCCAACCTTCCAAGTTCTAGAAGGGTAACCCTGAGACTTAGGAGGAGGAAGCTGACAGCCAGGGCCACCCATTGAACTGGCTGTAAGAAGGCAGGCAGGTGGGGATTACAGATTGTTACTGCCTGATGTTAACATCAGCATGGCTGGGGCTAATGAAAGTTAAGTGTTCAACTACATCTGGAGGATTACAGGCTTCCCACCCCTGGTTTAAATTATCCAGAAGAACCCTATCCTACAAACTCGAAATGAAGGATTAAGACTTGAACAAAATGGACTGTCTACTCAGTTCAGCTTCCTCTTTTTCCAGGCTGTTATATTTTCCGCTAAGGCATTTTTCCTAAAGCTGCATTATTTGCCATAAACATGTGTTCTGCTAGCATGCACCTGTAGTTATAGTAACAGGAATGCCTAGGAATGTTCTCTGGATTTCATCAAGTCGTGTGTATATTGCTGTTATGTCAGGTGTATATATTATGACTCATAACTACTGCTCTTGATGCCGCCTCCAAGCTATAGTTAGGATATTATGCAGTCCTGTATCCTGCACCATACTATTTCTTTAACACTGCATTATATTTGTGCCCATGAAGCCTCTAGCACTGAGTGGCTGGGCTGCTGTGATGACAAGGAATGCTCATGAGCATTCCAAGCACAGGCATGCATACAGGATATGCCAGATGTGCCCCCCACCCAAAGTGTCTTTTGTGAGTCCCTGTCTTGCTTAGCTGTAGTCAGGGGCAGCACAGACATTGGGCAGGGTGAATCCACTGCCTTGGACAGCAAAAGCCCTCAAAGTGGCACTCCCACGGGCTCCCTGCCCGCCCCACCGCATCTTCCAGTGGTGCCAACTTTGAGTGAGATTGTGTGCATTTTTTATGAGCTCTAACCCAAAATTGGCACAATCTCACTTGAAATTGGTTCCAATGGCAGTAGCACTTCTCCATTAGTGGCAGATAGGGCAGAGTACACAGCGGTGGCAGAGCAGGTGGTGGCAGACACAGTGGTGGCAGGAGCAGCAGCAGGGCAGAGTGGTGAAATGGGACACACCACCCCTGGCTGCAGTAGAGCACTAGAGTTCCAACGTGGTGACTGCGCCTTCATGCAGCCAACCTCTCCTCTGCGCTTCTCATGCCTCTTATGGTTCTGGGGAAGAGAACCACAGCAGGAGGGGGAGACACCAATGACTCTGCCTGACTTATCTCTGTGGCTTGGCTTCCCTCCTTTCCAGCTTTTGCTCTGAGACTGGGCTTCTCTCGGCCACAGACTCTCCCAGCTCACTAAGCATTCTTAACCTCTTCAGCTTCCGACACCTCCTCTTCCCAGTCTTCCTCTTCTCCCTCTGACCACTCATCATTGTCCCACCACTACTCCCTGGGCTCTGAGCCTTCTTCCCTTAGTGGTTCCCCAGCTGGTTCCTCCCACCATTCCTCTGCGTCCAACCAATCCATGATATCACCTGACAGCAACTGCCACTCTAGCCCCAAGCCAGTTGAGATCACAGGGCACAAGACACTCAGTTTCCAGGATTCTTTGTGGGGGAGCAATGTGCTTTAAATGTGTGGCGTGGGTGTTTCAAGCAGTAACTTTTGTGGGGAGGCAGAAGACTGGAAAGAGATCCTGGGAGGTGGGAAAGCTGGAAGGCAGGTAGCTGAAGAAAACATATAGTGCGGGCAACAGACTGAGAAGTGCGGACCAAAGGGGAAAGTAGATGAAAGAAAAGGAGGCTCATAAGAAAGAGCAGGAGACAAGAGGCTGAAACACGAAGAAGCTAATAAAAAAAGGGAGGATGTGGAAAGACTGGATATCACATGTAGATTTGAACCTATCAGCTAGTTCTTTGGTTCCAGGCTTCCAGTCTAATCCTGCATTACTGATTTGGCTTGTCAAATGCTGGCATTGTACTCTTCGGGTTTGGCTCAGAGACTCTGCTGCTTTTGCTAAGTGCAATAACCACTCAACTTCCTGTCTTTGACTAGAGCCATATTCACACTGTTAATCTATATGTCATAGTACATCAGAGTATATAAAGGCTGCAAATTCTCCCTGCAAAACAGAT